TCGCACTGAGCGATTTGCCCATGACCACCTTACGACAGCTGACTGAGTTTGAAAAACCTCATGATTCCTCATCGGGAGATGGTCGTAAGAGGCTGATCGCCCCTCGTTACCCCGTTCACTACACCATCAGGCTGAAAGTCGGTTCGATCGAAAGATGACAGTTTATGTCTGGCTTAAGTTTGTTCATTCAGCTTCTTTTTGAGCTGCCCTGGACGCACCTGATCTCAGGCCTTAAGGATTCCCAGAGTCCTGGAGCCTACAGCCCCTCCACCTGGGTACCATCAATTTATTTATGTATTTCAGGAAATCTAAAGTTAACTTTTTCTTGCTGGGTTTTTGAGGCCTGATTTTACTTAAGTTCTGATTTCAGTTTGTTTTCTCATTTCAATACTTCGTTGGACCTGGTAAGCAAAGTCATGGTAGGAGTGCTTCTGCATGAAAGCAGTAAGAGGAATGCTTTGAACAGAGCAATTAAATGTCTAAGAAAGCCCGGCACAGCAATTAAAACAGAACTTAATGAGATCAGCTTGACGAGTTATTTTTTTGTTCTGTCTTACTCAGACAAACAGCGGGCGCTAACCTCAGCGAGACGCGTGTTTGTGTTCAGAAATAGCTCAGAGTATCACAGAGGAGGTTTTGCCTGTTTCATTACGGCTGTTAGATAATTCGGTTTTAATCATTTCTCCGTCTACCTTCACGCCCACTGGAGCTCTTTGATTTGGCTTTACAGCAAACTCTGCGTCTAGAAACACGGTTTAATACTTTGGGCAAATTAACTGATGAGTTGTTTGTTTATTTACATCAATCTGCAGAGTTACTGGTTCTTAAAGCAAGTTTTAACGTCTGTTTTAGAGCCAGAAAAATCATCTATATCCTGCAGAATTAATGCAGCCCTTGAAATTTTCCTGGTTTTGGCACAAACCACCTCAACCCTTCATTTGGGTTGAAGGACAATGATTCAGGGTTTACTTCCTCTTCCCCTTAAAACATCTCAAGCTCAGTCAGGTTTTAATGCAGAACATGAGTGAACATCAGTTTTCAAGCCTTGACGCAGATTCTAGGTTGGATTTTTATCTGTGCTTTGACTAGGCCACTCTAACACACAAATCTGCTCTCCTCTAATCCATCCACTGTTTACATTAGTGGATGTTTAAGGTGTTGTCTCTCCTGAAGGTGAACCTTACGCCCAGCTTCAGCTCTTCTGCAGCTTTCTTCCAGGATTGTCTTCCGTCCATCTTGGACCAGCCTCTGCTGTTTTTTATGTAGGGGAAGGTGTTTGAAGGACGGGGATGTCCAGTGTGTCCCAGTAGTGCTCTTACATGGCTTACTTCCTGGGTTAAACATAGCTCTCCTGTCAGTGGCCTGGCTGAAGCAGAGAGCAGACAGACTGGGAATGTTTGCTTTACATTAAGATTTAACAAGAGGTTAGACGTTACCATTGAAGACTTTTCTTGACCTATTTTATTTATTTATTTCAGCAAACTTCTAAACATATCCGCTTCTTATTCATGAGACAGATTTAATAGACCCACAGTAAAAACATTTCCTAAAATATGTGGAGGTTGCAGAACAATTTTTCTTTAAAGGTAAGTTTGAGACGGATGGATGGATGGATGGATGGATGAAGGTTGGATGCATGGATGGATGGATGGATGAAGGATGGATGGATGGATGATGGATGGATGGATGAAGGTTGGAGGGATGGATGGATGGATGGATGGATGGATGGATGGATGGATGGATGGATGGATGGATGGATGGATGATGGATGGATGGATGATGGATGGATGGATGGATGGATGATGGAGGGATGGATGGATGATGGATGGATGGATGATGGATGGATGGATGGATGGATGATGGATGGATGGATGATGGATGGATGGATGGATGATGGATGGATGGATGGATGATGGAGGGATGGATGATGGATGGATGGATGGATGGATGAAGGTTGGAGGGATGGATGGATGGATGGATGAAGGATGGATGGATGGATGGATGGATGGATGGATGGATGGATGGATGGATGGATGGATGAAGGATGGATGGATGGATGGATGGATGGATGGATGGATGGATGGATGGATGGATGGATGGATGGATGGATGGATGGATGGATGGATGGATGGATGGATGGATGGATGGATGGATGATGGATGAAGGATGGATGGTTGGAGGGATGGATGGATGATGGATGGATGGATGATGGATGGATGGATGGATGGATGATGGATGGATGGATGATGGATGGATGGATGGATGGATGGATGGATGGATGGATGGATGGATGGATGGATCATCCATCCTGTATCTGTACCTGATCAGCCCGCTGGGTGGGGATAATGGGTGGGGCTAATGGGTGGGGATAATGGGTGGGGATAATGGGTGGGGCTAATGGGTGGGGATAATGGGTGGGGCTAATGGGTGGGGCTAATGGGTGGGGCTAACGGAGGCCCGCCTCCAGCAGTCATTGGGCAGGAAGCTAGATAACCAATCATGGAGGTTCTCCTTCAGGAAGACTAACCCAGTGGTCGTGTTTCTGGTCTGTGATTCCTGCATCCAGATAGACCTCAGAAACAACCATCAATAACTTTAATTTTATTGATTCTGGGAATATGAAATAAAAAAAGGAAAACTAATAACATTTGAACAAAATAAATACAACCCATTTACTCAGTCAGTGTGTTATGATGGGTGTGTGTGCTGATTGTACAGGTGTCACTGTATTGATCCCCCCCCCTCGGCTATGTGGGCTGAGTAATGGAGACATCAATAATTTAACAATAATACAGCCTATCTCATGAAACACCATTCACTCCCACTCTGTGTGTTTGCTCTTATATAGGTTGGGTAATTACATCTGCGTCTCTTTGTTTCTTTCAGTCTCTCTGACATTTCCACCAAATGTACTGATGTTCAATTATTCATTAGCCAGGGCGAGCGGCATAGGGACTGAATGAGAGCAAGAGAGAGAGAGCATGTTGTGTTTTGTTAGTGTAGGTTTAGATGTGCTGGAATTCATTTTGTCTGCGGGGTTAGGGTTAGTGAAAAAGTAGATGATGATGATGAAGGAAGGGTGGGAAAGAAAGGAAACAGGAAAGACAAAGAGCAGATGTAGCAGATGAATCGGTGGAGTTTATTTAAAGAGACGCACGTCCAGAACTTTAATGTTCGTCCTTTTCAGTTCCAAGAGCACCACAGTGGGTCGGTCAGCTAATCTGTGTATAAAGTGGCTCCGACTAGACAGGATGAGCAGATCTATGCAGATTTTTTTTATGTGTTACACACCTCAAAAGGGGAATAATGAAAAAAAAAGAAATACACTGTTAACTCTGTCACTTACAGCGTCGAAATGTTGTTTTAAAAACTGTTTTTAAAATGCATCGACGAATAAAGAAAAGCTGCTGCAATACAGAAACAAATATATACAGCATTTCCATGTAATCAGAATACATTTCCTGGATAAGTGCTCAACATGTCACACTGACAATATAGAACTTTAAAGCAGAAGCACATTTACTCCATCTGCTCAGATCAATACAATCGTTTCTTATTTTCTGAACTTAGTGAACCCAAATATAGCTATTTAACTTCTAACAGTCAGAATATTTACCTGAAAAGGAGAATAATGGAAAAAACAGACGGACATGGTGTTAATTTTGTTGGACGAGCATATCAGATACAACCAATTGAGAAAAGATCGGCAACCGAACTCCTAAAACACAAAATCTTGAAAGATATCAGTCTTTAAATACGATATATATGCATAGTAGAGAAGAAACATTCCATAAAATTAATTTTAACTAGATTTTAACATCTACAGATCAACAGTGTTGATTCCCATTAACTTTACTCTATTAGAGAAATTAAGTTTTATAGGAATTTTCCACATAAATAATTCAATTTAATTCTATAGCTCCAATTCACATCACGCCATCTTAAGGCACTTTATAGATCTAGATCATCCAGTCAGATTGATTCAAAGTTTTCTATCTAAGGAAAACCAGCTGATTGCATCGACTCATTGACTCTTCAGCAATCCCTCACACTAAGCATGCTTGTAGCGACAGTGGAGAGGAAAAACTCCCTTTGAACAGGAAGAAACCTCCAGCAGAACCAGGCTCAGTGTGAGCGGCCATCTGCTGAGGCCCACTGGGGTTCAAGGAGACAGAAGCAGACATAGAAATAGAAGCATAGATACAAAAGGCAACTGTCAACCAGCTCCACAGGCGGCCCCGTCCAGGAAACACACAGCCAGGCAGACGAGCTCCGAGCCAGCTCCCATGTCAGAGGACGAAGAGAGCACATCCAGTTAGTCACAGTCAGAGAAACAGGACTACACTGGAAAACAGGCCAAGCTCCAACATCTAGAAACAAAGGTGTTGATGGCAGCAGCACAGCTGATGTTTCTCTCCAGGATGGAGTCACAGCCAAGTTTTCAATGATGGCAACCATTAGGGGGCGGGGCTAAAAATGAATACCTGCTGATGCATTACTCCTGCAGAGTCACATTTTAGGTGGAATTTTAAATCTCATTTTATTTGTTTACGCAGCTATGAAACAGAAAGTATTTCTGAAAAAATAATTTTGAAACATGTTTTAGAAATTTTAAAGCCTCATTTGAAAGGTGTGTGGATGAAACACCATGTGACTGAGTTTTGGCCTTTTCTATAAATAGATAAACATGAGCAGGTGTCAGTTGGACCCTGGACCGGACCCACCGGGCTTAATCTCTTTGTTTTGAAATGACACCTTCAGCTGTGAGAGAGATGGAGAAACATCTCTGTTAGGTCAGAGCAGCAGACGAGTTCCATCAATCTGCGTTTCTTTTCCTTTTTCAAGTTTTATAATTAAAGTTCTTCTATGATTATTTTCACACTGGTTATTTTTTTGTTCGATTTGAAGAAAATCTGCAAAACCCTTTTTTCTAATTGAATTAAAATGTTTATAAGGAAATTTTAAAGCCGCTCATTATGTGGTTCTTCTGTGTGTTTCAGAAGCGGGCGGCGGAGTCACTGCTACCGGATCGTCTACCGCCACATGGAGCGAACCCTGACCCAGCAGGAGGTGCGGCAGGTCCACGAGCAGATCGAGCGCACGGCGGAGGCCGAGCTGGGGGTTCAGGGCCGATACTGACTCACGCATCAGATTTACCGCCTGTATAGATTCACAAACTCTCTGAGCTGTTAAGCTGCTTCATCACGTCTCTGAAGCTGTGGTTTTTCGCCGCAGGGAGAATCGTGTTCAACGCAGGCGTCACAGCCTGCTTTTGATGCTGCTGCAGCGCTTCGTCACCCCCCCCCCCCCTTCGCTGCTCTCGCATCTCCAGCCTTAAATGTGTGAATCTGACGTGTGTCATCTTTAATTTCCACAAACATCATCTGAGCTTTGGGCGCCGGCATCTGTCTGTGACTCGTCTGGCTGCAGGGTTATGGAGGCTCTGTGACTCACAGGTCCATCCAGACACCAGCAATCATCACTCCAGCTTTCTGCAACCATGTTTTAGTTGATTTTCCCACTAAAACCTGTTGGGATCTAATGGTTAAAACCTGCATTATAGGCTCTAGATATAGACGTAAACACAGTCAGGAGGAAGAACCACATATTGTCCCCATTAAATGGGGAGAAATCAAAAAAGCATAACTGGACTGAGTAAAAATGCTCCATCTGTGGAAGGTTTTTAGCTAAGAACTACGACGGAGTATTAGGGCCACACATGAAGAGAAAAAATATTTTTGCCATGACGAGATTAAACTCGACATGTCGACTTTAAAGTCGACATGTCGACATTAAACTCAACATTTCGAGAATAAAGTTGAAATGTCTTGTTGAGTTTAATCTCGACGTGTCGACTTTAAACTCGCCCTGTCGACTTTAAACTCGCCATTTCGAGAATAAAGTTGATATATCGTGGCGACTTTAATCTCGACATTCCAAAGTTTGGAGAAAAGAGCAACCGCGCTCCACAGCTGCAGTCTGCGTTTTAAGAGTGAAGGTAGTCTTTGACGTGCTGCAACTGTATAATCATCACAGAAAGTACAATTTGACCAAATCATCTACACAAGGCATGTCTGATTCTGGATTCTGTGCATGTAACCTGTGCAGCGGTTGGCTCTCTTGAACTAATTTCAACTTTATTGTCGACACGTCGAGATTAAACTCAACATGACATTTCAACTTTATTCTCGAAATGTTGAGTTTAATGTCGACATGTCGACTTTAAAGTCGACATGTCGAGTTTAATCTCGTCATGGCAAAAATATTTTTTCTCTTCATGTGTGGCCCTAATACTCCGTCGTAAAAGAACGCTTGTTAAGACGTCAGAAATGTTTTGGAAATTACTTTTTAAATGCTAACTGAAAAAGTTAATAATAAAAAAAAATGTTGCACTGTCCTGTATTTAAACTTGTTCTGGTGATTAATCTAACCCTTTTTTTAAATGTATTGTTTAGTTTAGCTCGGCCCTACCATTGATCCGATTACCTGGAACGACGTTCAGCTGGAAGCAATTTGCTCACGTTGGCTCATTATCAGTTTTTTCTCTTAATCCATCATTTGTTCAAAGATTATAAAACATCTACTCCTCTGATGCCTTTTAAAGTGAAAAGTGATCAAACTTTATATTATATGAGAAAACAGCAACATTACTGCTCTCTGAAGGAGCTGCAGGAATCTCTGCTTTTTAGCAATCCCCTGAATTCTCCGAGACGGGGAGTTGCTGGACTTTGACGGAGAATTAGGGATTAGAGATTTATTTCTTTTTTAAATACGAGAATAAAGTCGTAACATTACATGAATAAAGTCATCATTCAACAACCTGTTTCAAAGTAAGTTTGGTGCTCCGCCCAGCAGATGATGTCAGACCAGCTCCACCAATCAGCAACCAGAGTCCACTTTGACATCCTGATTTCCTGATTTGTCAAACCGATGCTAAAATATAACTTCACATGATGCTCCACATTCCTCATTTTAGGGAAGAAAGGGATTCTAGGAAGAGATGTTATAAAATACAACTTTATTCTCATAATATTATTACTTTATTCTTGTAATTTTAAGACTATTCTCATATTGTTGCGACTTTATTCTCTTAATATTGGGACTTTTTTCTCGTAATGTTGTGATTTTATTCTCGTAATTTTATCACTTTTCTCATAATATTAGAACTTTATTCCCTTAATATTATGACTTTATTCTGGTAACGTTTAGGGGTGTAAATCATCCATCATGGCGATTCGATTCAGTATCGATTTCCTGACCCGACGATTCGATTATTTTTTTTTTTTTTTACACCTTACAGGCTAAACAAAGTTTCAAGTTTGAAATAAATCAATGAAAGCTGTAATATCGTTATGCATTTTTTTTAGAAACAACAGCAAATAACAGAAGTAGAAAAGTTGCATCAAAAATTATTGCAGAAAATCAGTGCAATGAGTGCAATGCAATACCTCGGCTCCAGACGTCCCGCCCCCTCCACAGACGCTCCGCTGCTCCTCTCCCAAATTGTATCTGACCGCAGACAGTGCTGCAGACAGGAGGCCGGCTTGTTTTGTTTTTATGACCGAAATTGTGGAAAACAACTCGTGAAGTTTGACCCGCTAGAAGAGCGAGGTGCGTGAGAACGCTGGGACCCTTTTCCCACCTGGATCTCCGCTCTTTTTGGCCCTCATGTCCCTCCGTCGGACTAAACTCGCCCCCACTTCCTCACCGCCTCGCCGTATCTAGACCCACAGCGTGTAGCACAGACCACGCTTCAATATTGAGCATAAATCAAAAATGTCTGCATCAAGCTCACTGCAACACACTGCTGTAAGAGTATAACCAGGAAGCGAGGTAGGAGGGCAAAATAGGTTCAGCGCCACCGCAGCACGGGAGGGAGAATTACGCCCAGGAGCAAATGGATAAAAATAGACCGGATGAAAAAAAACATGAATCGATTATCTTGCGGACGTGTCGATGCATCGGATCGTCGGCTGTTGGATCGATGCATCGATACAAAACGATTATTATTTACACACCTAGTAACGTTGCGACTTTATTCTTGTAATGTTACTACTTTATTCTCTTAATATTACGACTTTATCGTAATTTTATGACTTTATTCTCACAACGTATAACTTTATTCTTTTAATATTATAACTTTATTCTCGTATTTTTATGACTTTATTCTAGTAATTCTATGACTTTATTCTTGTAATGTTACGTCTTTTTTCTCATAATATATCAACTTTATTCTCAAATTAGAAAATAAATCAATCTGTAGTCTGGCCCTTATGCTCCATCATATTGAACAGAATCAGTTTCTTTCAATAAAAATGCTCATATTCATTATAAATATCCCAAACCACAGAGGAAGAATCTGTGGTGGCAGCACCATGCTGAGGGGTTTCTTTTCTTCTTCATTTTTGTTATTATTTTGGAGCTGATTTCCAAACTGATTCCTGGTTAAGCTAATTTCTGATCAACCGGGTCTCACCAAGACAACGGGAGCTTCAGATTCCCGCGATCCTGACAGAAGCAGTTTTATTTCAGCCACTGAAGCAACATCAGATAAAAAACCTCCTGGTCGACCTCAGGAGGGCTCTGCTGCATTATTTAGGTTTCTGTTCTTTTCAATTAACATCTGGTTCTGCTTCTCATGGGCAGCATGAGGATGGATTAAAAACATTTGCATCTCTGTCTTAGGAAAGCTTTAAAAACGTTGCTGTTTCTAATAAACAGAAACCAGTTTTCATTGTGAACAACAACCTCATTAAACATTCGGGGATTTTTCTGTTCCTGTCACTTTCTCAACCGCATTACCATGAGATGCAGCCTTCAAACTCCTTCTGATTAGTTTCATTTTTAAATAAATTAAAGCATCAACAGAGCCCTCCCTGACAGCGCAGCCGCCGCGGGGCTCATCCAACAATTATTAGGCATCTTAGTTTGACAACTCTGAAAATCCATCCCATAAATTCACAGGAGTTGTCTTCAGTCTTTTTTTATCTTCGGTTTCTCAAAGTTCCCTTAAGCCGAACGGATCCGGTTCTAGTCGGGTCGCATAATGAGGCGGAACCTGCAGGAGGCTGTCGGGTCGATGTGGGTGGACAGAACCGAGCAGCAGGGTTCCTCTCCAAGTTCCTCTCAGCAGTTCAGGAAACAAAAAAGCTGTCGAATCAGAAGCTAAAGCTGTGATGCTCTCGTTTAAACTTTCTAAAATAATCGCAGAGCCTGGAATCTGATCCACCGTCACCTGGTTTTTACTTCTGCTCCACCTCCACTAGCATTTCTGCTGGTCTGGTCTGAGATCAGCTCTAGAAAAAGTCATAACCTCTTAATTTACTCATAAAAGGCTTTAAATTGTCTTTGAACTCTCCTTTAATCAGATTTAGGAGAAACATATCACTTCATTCCCCATTTTTTACTGCAAGGGTTCAGATAAGAATTTGACTTGTGTGTGTTGGCCTTTAGGTGGAGTTAGCATTAGCAACATTAGCAGTTACTTGTGATTCATTATTTTCTGATTTTTTTACACATTATGTAAAATTTTGCACAAGCAGCAATTCCTCCTGACTGCCTGCAGATGAGCATTGCATATAGGCGGGAAGTGTGATAGCAAGGTGGGCTAGACAGGCTAATGTTAGCATAGTGATAACAAGGCAAGCTAACATTAGCATAGTTATAGCAAGGCATGATACTGTCAGCAAGGTAGTAGCAAGGTGGGCTAATGTTAGAATGGTGAGAGCAAGGCAACCTCATGTTAGCATAGCGATAGTAAGTTGGGCTAATGTTAGCATAGTGATAGTAAGGCAGGCTGATGTTAGCATAGCAATAGTAAGATGGGCTAATGTTAGCATAGTGATAGTAAGGCAGGCTAATGTTTGCATTGTAATTGCAAGGTGGGCTTAAATTAGCATAGTGATAGCATTGTAGGCTAATGTTAGCCTGGTGAAGCAAGGTTGGCTAATGTTAGTGTAGTGAGAGCAAGACAGGCTTATGTTGGGAAGGTCATAGCAAGGCAGGCTGAAGTTAGCATAGGAATAACAAAGTAATAACAAGGCAGGCTAATGTTAGCTTGGTGATAGCAAGACAGGCAAACTCTAGCATGATGCTAGCTAGGTGGGCTAACATTAGCATGGTGTTTGCAAGATGGACTAATTTTAGCCCTGGTGATAGCAGGGCAGGCTAAAGTTATTATAGTGATAGGGTCTAATGTAAGCATAGCGATAGTAAGGTGGGCTTAAATTAGCATAGTGGGCTAATGTTTGCATAGTGATAGCAAGGCAGGCTAAAGTTATTATAGTAATAGCAAGAGGGTCTAATGTAAGCATAGCGATAGTAAGGTGGGCTAATGTTAGCATAGTGATAGTAAGGCAGGCTAATGTTAGCATATTGATAGCAAGGCAGGCTAATGTTAGCATAGTGATAGCAAGGCAGGCTAATGTTAGCATATTGATAGCAAGGCAGGCTAATGTTAGCATATTGATAGCA